GAATGCTTCTAGAAAGGAAGGCTAAGCAACTGTTCCTTGAAAATCAGACCGGCACAAGGCCCAGGGGACGGCCAAGATGAAGTTTTAAAACTTTTGTTGCAACAACGTTAGATCCGTACAAAAACAATTTTACGAAGCAATTTGTGTTCATCTTCATCTTTCATCGCCGTTTCTCCTTTCGGGTCGCGGAGGCAGAAGCGTCGCATAGAGCTTCCAACGTCCCCGATCCTGTGCCAGAGTCTGAGCTTCGGCAAAACACAACTGGAGTCTGGAACAGACTCCTTCCATATGTTTGCACTAGGTTAATCTTGGCCGTCCCTGGGCCTTCTGCCGGTCGGATATAAAGTAATTAGTACTAGCCTTAATGCATAGTTGTCAAAGCTGAACTTGTTCTTCATATGGTGCTCAAATATATTTGTAATATTCAATGTACAGTCATTTTCAGAAACGAAATTTGCAAAAGCCTATTTTTTAAAGCAAACAAGTAGTAGGTGAGATCAGCGGCGATCCTTCATTGGAAGTGATTTGAGAGCAAGATCTCAGCGAAAGGCGTGCATAAATGACTTGGAAACAAGTGAATGGAACACTAACAGTTGATACGGCATGAAGTTAAGAATATCGGTGGAATTAATAATCTGTTAACATTAACTCATCAATTGCATTATGGATTTGTCCTTTTGGAACGACACTAAAAAATCTAGAAATTTGTTAAGTTTAAGTCAAGGAATATATTTACCTAAACAAACTCAGCTAACATTTTATTTGTCATTGGAGACAAAATCTGTTTGTTTCTTTCTTTCTCTCTCTAATTGGCGTTTCCTTCAATTTTTCTAGAATTACACTATATGATACAATATTTACTGCGCGGGCACCATGTTGAGGTTGAAAAGTTTCTGTCTCTGTAGATTGCGAACTTACGATCAATGCCGGGGCTAATTGATCACTACCGCCTTTCATACATTTTTTGCATCAGATGGGCAGCGGTAGTTCATTTTGTTTGAAGGAATGTTTACGTTCATCCGACTAATTGATTAATTCATGTGTGCAATAAATCTTCGGAATCAGTGAGTATAATGTCTGATGAAAGTATGCAACAAAACCTGAAACCCTGCTCATAATAGTATCCAGAAAATTGTTCACGCTTTGCAAAAACTAATGCACTGCTTTTCCACATGTCGTTCAAAACTAATAGTAGGGTACCTGCGTATTCTAAAGCGGTCTTTCGAAAAGTAGGACTGCGAAACTCGGGCGAAAACTTGAAACAGTTGCATGTCAGTATCAATATTAAGCATGTATGCGACTAACCTATATCTACTTTGTCAT